TATCCTCCACAGAATCTCTCTTTCTCTCTCTATCCCCCTCCCTCCCTCTCTCCCTCTTCTCCCCTTCCCACCTCAAGTTTTATCTGTCTTTCAAGGCCCAGCTTCCCTCTAGGAAGCCTTTCCTCATATTCCACACTAGAAATGATTCCTCAATTATCCGGTTTCTTTTGCACTTAGAACATTCTAATTTGTATTATATTTATCTATTATGTGTCTTACCTCTCTGACTAGTCTGTAAGCTCCATGAGGCCTGGGACTGTCTTATTGATCTTTTCTCCCCAGGTGCCTTGTGCATGTGTTTGATAAATGTCTGTTAATAAATGATAAAAATTAGGACAGCTAGGTGGCATATTCAGTAAGAATGCTGGGCCTGGAGTCAGAAACACCAGAGTTTAGTTCTGGTCTGAGACACTTAGCTCCTTGGGCAAGTCACTTAACTTCAGTTTCCACAACTATTAAATGGGGATAATAATAGCACCTCTCTTGAAATGATCAGATGAGATAATTGTAAAGTATTTAGCACAGTGCCTGGCATGTAACAGGTACTATAAAAATACTAGCTATTATTAATCTTATTATTGAGAATTATTATTAATGAATCTCCTATAATACTGATATAATGTTTAACAGTTTGAGGAAGACAGAAACTAGGGAAGCCCTGGGAGGAGTTGGTATGGACCAGATATTAAAATGAGAGGAGAGGAGTGGGAGTAAGGTAGAGGTTGAAGAGGTTAAGATGGGGGGGCAGGAGAAAACTTGGGCTGGGGTATGCAGAAATCTAGGGAGTTCCAAATCAGGGGATCTCTGGTGGTAGTGAGGCCCAGAGAGGCAGAGGCTGGGGAGTCATGCCCTCTCCCCTGTCTGGAAGGAGTCAGGGGGACATCAGCTATGACAGAAGAGTAGAAGGCCAGGCCAGGGGTCTCTAGAGGGCTGAGGCTGCTAGTATTCCTAAGGGAATTGAGACCTCAGTTTGAGCCAGGTCTTTCCTTAGAGCAGGGGTGGGGAACCTGTGGCCTCGAGGCCACATGTGGCTTTGAGGTCACAGGTTTCCCACCTCTGCCTTAGACACTCAGCTCTGAACCCATCCAGCCTGTTGGCCTTCTGTGAGAAGGGAAAGTAGACAGCTAGGCCTGCTCCCAAGGAGGCAGGTGGCTCATGTTTTCTACCTCCCTCTCTTAGGCTCGATTTCTTTCCTTGGCCTCCTCACTAATCCCACAAGGGTTTAGGGCTTCCCTCAAGTGTTTCCTTATCTGTTCCTTGCTCCCTCAGACATCCAGCTCTCTATAAAATGCCTCCCTCTCCCTCCTCTCCACCTTTTAAGGCCTCTCTCACTTCAACATCTTGAGCAAATTTCACCCATGAACATGGGCAACTTATATAGTACCCATTTCCCAGATATGGCCACTGAGTCAAGAAAGAATCTGGTTTCAGGTCACCCAAGTTGGCTGGGATCTGGGAACAGATGTATCTCCTCATTCAGGCTCCTGGTCCTGGTCTGGACTGACCTACCCCGAGGCTGGATGGAGCCAGGGGGGATAATTGTCATTGTAGGTAAGGGGGTGAGGTTTCCCTTGTGCTCCTGGGTTCTAGGAATGGTTTCCCTCAGGAGTTGGCTCTGTCCTGGCATGGGGAATTTTAATGTGCTTGGGGAAGGGGCGGAGAATGAATGGTAAGAGGTCATGTGTCTGAGCACCAGGGCCTTCTCCCTTCAGGGTTTCCTTACTCTCTGATGGGGTCAAACCCCACACCCACTGCCCCTCAGTTGGTGCTGCCCCTAATCCCTCCTGTGCATCTGTGAAACTCAGAGTTTTCTAGCTTCCTTGGAATGGGGCTGTGCTTTTAAGAGACTGAAGAGGTGGCCTGGGAGATAAGACTATGAAAAAAGGGGTGCTGGAGGAGGCATCATTGGGAAGTAACAGTGACGTAAGAAAGAAAAGCATCAAACGGAACTTTTTTTTTAAAAGGAAGGGGCGTCTATTGTGAACTTTGGGGCTGGCCTGTGTATTGAGTGATTTTTGTAAGGATAGAAACCCTCGTCTCCGTATTTCTGCTGCGTTCTCCTGGTGGGGCTGGGTGAGGTGGCTGTCTAAGCCAGTGATTATGCAAACCTGTCACTCCATCAGGAGGCTTCCTAATCGGCTGAAATTGAGTCTGACTGACGTTGTAGAATGAACCAGTGAGTTTGGGAGTGGAAAGCCTGAAATTATAATTCTGCCACATTTTACCTGGTAACATTGGGCGCATGACTTTGCTGACTCAGGGTGTCAGTCTCCTGATCTATAAGGAGTTGTATGTGATAATCCCTATGATCCCTTGTAGCTCTAAAGCTAGGATCCCTTAAAAATGCTCTGATAGTCTAAAGTATAGGGAGACGGGGTCATAAAGAGGAAGGAAGGAGCGGATCTAGGGATGGTGGGGTTGGGGACAGGATGGCAAGGCCCTGAGCTCTGTGAGTCAAGCAGGGGCAATATCCAGGAAGTTACCTGGGAATCAGGCAAGTATAGAAAAGTTAGTGAGGGTTAGCTAGGTGTTGCAGTGGATAGAGCACCAGCCCTGAAGTCAGGTAGGACCTGAGTTCAAATCCTGTTTCAGACACTTATTAGCGATGTAACCCTGGGCAGGTCACTTAACCCCAATTGCCTCCAGAAGAAAGAAAGAAAAGTTAGTGAATGTTTGGATGTGGCCTAAAAGGTAAAAGTGGAAGCAGATGATGGCTGAGGCCCTTGTCCTGGGTGGTCTTTTTGCTGATTCAAGGCTTTATTTGGGTTGCTGTGACCTGCCTCATCATTTGAAGTGACGTATCTTCTTTTTGTAGGAAAGGGAAGGCTAAGCAGTGGATCAGGCCAGTATTCTTATTGTCATTATTGCTATTATTACTATTATTTATAGAATACCGAGAGGCAGTGTGATATGGTGGATAGAAAGCAGGTCTTGAAATTCAGAAGACTTGGGCTCCAGTCCTGGGTCTGGGTCCTGGCTATGGAAGCCCCAGCCAGTCCTGTAACCTTCAGTGCTGTGGGCAGCTAAGAGTGCCCATGGTGGAGAAGGTGGTAGCCTAGCTTGGTAGAGATGGTGGAGCTCAAAAGTCTAGCCCTTATCCTGTAGTGGCCTGCAGGTGTTACCCCCATTTGGAGAGACTCCTTTGCAAAGGTCCCCTGGCTGGCTTCTAGGGAATGCTGGGTGCCCAGTTTAGCAAAGTCCAAGGTCCAGGGCTAGGCTTTGCACAGGGACAGAGAAGGTTAGAAGAGAGTCTATTTCTGTGCCTTTGGAAACATATATAAACCATCAAAGCCTTATACCTTTTTCTTGGTGCATTTCCCTCCTAATTCCCTGCTAAAGTTTTGTCTTTAACCCAGCTGCAGTTTAGGGAAATGAAGGGAAGGGATTTTGTTTTCTTCTTGGGCCAAACAAGCTGGGCTGATAACTGGGCCAAGACTTGGGCACTGTAGACCCAAGGCCCTTCCCTCCATGGATCCTGGTTCAGGCCAATTAGAAATGGAAGAAACCCCACAGAGAGAAAGGGGGATCCAGAGCCAATTGTGAGTCCATTCCTTATTCTTATGTGGGGATCTTTGTATCCTGCCAAGGAATCTCCCATACCTGAGTGACTGCCAAGAGTCTGGTCCCATCTGTCATTGGCCAACCTAGTCTTCTCCATTGCAGCCTAGTGGGGCCAAGGGCAATAAGGATGGGATAAAAGGGAGTAAGGCAGCCACCCAGCCCTGAGCAAGGAAAGCTCTGGGTCCTGAGGGGCAGTTTGAAGGGCTGGGGATAGTATCTGAGAGCACCATGAGTAGAAGCAAGAGAAAGCAGCTTCCATATCTCAGCTCCCAGTTCTGCTCAACCTGACTCATGCCATAGGTCTCCTTTAGCCAGCCCTTAGGGGACAGATTGGGTTACCTGGACCAGTTCCAGGACAGGAGTGGGGAGGGATCTGGTGAGGTATTGGCCAGCAAGTGACAACATAACTGGGGAGGAGAGAACTCCCAGCAAAGCTCCTCCAGCGTATGTGTGCTTAGGTCAATTCCCAGCCAAGAGGGGAAAGGAAGAGGAGGAGAAGGTGGAGAAGGAGGATAGGAGGAGGAGAGAAGGAGAGGAGGAGGGGGGTGAGGACAAGGACAGCGTGGAGGAAGAGGAGGAGGAGAAGGAGGAGGAGTCTGGAGGTGATGCCAATTCTCTTTGAAGCCCTTCTTTCCCATCCCTACAACCCATTCCCTGCCTCTAGTCCTGCCTGGACATAGACTCTTTCCGAAAAGCAGGATACCAGGGTGTAGGGCCTAATGGGCCTTGGGGTTGGGGAAAGCCTGAGCAGGGGAGCTCAGAATCAGACACTGGGTGGGTTAGGACCAATTTCCTGGTCTCCAGAAGCCATCTTCCACCCCTGCCTCAGGAGCTCTGAGGGGTCATGAAAATCACTTTTTCAGCATCTTTGTCATTAAATGAAGAAAGGACTCTCCTCTCCCAGTCCCCCAAGCATGCAAGGACACATACATACACAGATATAACAGCTAAAATACACATGCACATAAATGCACAGAAATAGATTGTGTAGATACTCTTCCAGCATCAGGTATAAACATATGTACACACATACATATGCACATGTGGATTCCTATCCTGTTCCATGCACTCGGGTGCAGAAGCATGCACAGACATGCATGAACACTGACATAGAAACACACAGAGACAGGCAGAAACATCTATGACATCGCGATGGCCTGGGCTAAGAGTCGGAGACCTAGGTTTGCGTGCTGACTCTACCTCTAACCAGTTGGTGCGACTGACTTTGGGCAAGTCCCTCTTTCCTTCTCTGGTCCTCGGTTTCCTCGTCTATAAAAAGAGGTGGTGGGACTATGGAAGATCTCTTCCAGTTCTAACATTTTATGATTATGTGTGTATACACAGAGGCTGTGCACACGCACACACCCACACGCAGACATACACACATAGACAAACTTTGGCATGAGCCCCTTGTAGTCCCAGGACCCCTTGGACACCCATCAGAGCCTGGTGGCATTGTGCTGGGGGAGCACCCCAAGTTGTGGGGAGGGTGTGCCTGGGGGCAGCTCCTCAAGATAAACTCGGGCAGGCAGTGGAGGGGAGCGTGGCTCAGGGTGGGTGCAGCAGAGGGTGGCTCGAGTGATGAGTCGGTCAAGGGGCTTCAGCGAGTGCATCCAGTGGGGAAGGAAATCCCAGTTCTGGAGCCACTTGGGCAGCCGGGCAGGGCTCCGGCTTTGGAGTAGGTTGACTAGGGCAACGCAGGCCAGCAATGCTCCAAAAGGGGCCCCCACACCCACCATGGCCCGCCAGCCTGCCATAGAGACACCGAACACCAGTGAGGGCAGCAGCAGGAAGCAGACCAGCAGGTAGAGCACAGCAAACCAGCGGTACTTGGCAGTGCGCCTGCCCAGGGCCTTGGCCATGTGGATGGGCAGCCGTGTGCACGGTAGCGGGTACCACAGCAAGATGCCCGAAATGTTGAAAAAGAAGTGGCACAGGGCAACCTGAAGGTAAGAGAGGAATGGGCACAGATCAGTACAGTCTTCCTTCTGTCACCAGCCTCCGTCAGCCCCAGGAGGACCACATGTCTAGTAAAGGCAACTGGGCCTAGACTCTAATCCCAGCTCTACCACTGACTAGCTGTGCACCCTTGGTTTAGTCACTGACCCTCTCTGGGCCTCAGTTCCCTCATCTGAAAGATGCTGAGGACTAGGTGTAAGGACCTGGCCAACTCTGATACTGTTGTATGTACAGGTAAGTTCTATGTTCTAAGGTTTCTTCTAGTTCTGATAGTCTGTGTTGTAAGAACCATTCCAGGTCCGATTGCTCTGACCTTTTACATTGTATAGTTTGAGTTCCTTCCACCTCTGGTGGTCTCTGGTTCTGGTACTCTCTAAGCCTCAGCTGTACTGGGCCACCATGTCCAGGATAGCCGGTACTTATCACCACCCGTCCATACTTGTTCTGCCCTGGTCTCAGCCCACCTCTACCTCCCCCAACAGGTACCTGGAAGGCACTGGAGAGCTTTTCTCTGGGGCTGGCAAGGGCAGCAAGGATGGCAGTGGTGGTGGTGCCAATGTTGGAGCCCAAGGTGAGGGGATAGGCTCGTTCAATGCTAATCACACCCAGACCTGGGGAGTAGGGTGGTGCAGAAGGGTCAATTTCTGAAGGATCCTGGATCATCTTAGTGTTTCCAGCCCCTCCCTTCCTGAGCTCCCTTTAAAAATTCCCTTCTCTAATTCCACAGCCTTTCCCACCCTTCCAATGCAGGGACACTCACCAATGAGTGGAGTGATGGCTGAGGTGAACACGGAACTACTCTGTACCACAAAAGTCATGCCTGCACCCACCACCATGGCAAAGTAGCCAGTCACCCAGGTGAAGGGATATGGGAAATCTGTAACAAGGCACCCCACCCCATCCCCACAGTCTGTGTTAGTGGGAAAGGAGTTTTTGTGTGTCAGCTTAGATCAATGTGAAAGATCACGGGGAGAGGCTCTCATAGATAGGATTGAAAATATGAAGAAACCTAGAGTTGAAATGGTCCAGCCTCTTTGTTTTACAGATAAGAAACTGAGAGTTATCCCTGGTCAAGTGACTTATCCCTGGTCACACAGCTGATAAGCAGCAAGGATTCAAATACATGTCTTTTCAATCCAAAGCCAATCCTCTTTCCACCGGACTACATTTGATTGGTGGAGAAGAGTCAGCCCAGAGCATTCTGGTATTTGGATGGTAATTCAGGAGTCCATAGGAGACATACAGCTGGTGGCTGTTAAGCTGGCACCCATACCTCACTCAGTGCTCATGGGTCTATAGCTGGAAATTGGAGGGGGAGGTAGGGAATTATGATAATAACTCACATTTCCATAATGGTCTAGGGTTTACTGAGTGCTAGGTAGCCGTGAGAATTATTGGCAAGTGACCACTAAGAGTCACTGAGATTGGCTCCAGCCAGATTAACCTTATTTTTTTTTTTTTTTGATAGGGTTATTAGACCAAGAGAATGCCATTAACGTGGGATTCCTGGACACCAGCTAAGCATTTGACAAAGTCTCATGGTATCCTTGGGGACAAAATGGAGCCCTGGAGGCTGGATGAACATGAAGTTGGGTAGAATTACAATTGGCTGAAAGACCAGAGCACCCAAGCAGTCATTACAGGACTGAAGTCAGCCCAGCCACACTTAGTACAATGTCTGGCATCTCTGTTGCTCCACACCTGTGATCTCATGGATGAACGAAACTCCCATAAGGAAATTCTGTCACAGATTCAGAGAGATTCACATATAGACAACTTGTCATTAACCTATGGTCTTAGACAAAACTATTCTTATTTGTTGATGATATGAGGGAATCAGAAAAGAGAACTAATTGAGACAATCTATAACCAACAAAGTTGCAGACTACAAAATAAACCCACAAAATCAATAGTATTTTTATATAATAACCAAAAAAATCCAAGAAACAATATTGGAAAGGGAAATCCCATTCAAAGTAACAACAACAAAGCACAAGACATTTGGGAGTCAAACTTATGGCCAAGTAGAATTGACTGGGGCAGTGGGAAGTTAAGTGATTTGCCTGTGTTCACAGCTAGTAGGTTCTTTTTAAGAAAACGACCTGAACCCAGGTTGTTTTGACTTCATGGACAGCTATCTTCAAGCTGACCCCTAGTCAAGTCACTAAACTCTGCCTCAGTTTCCTCAACTGTAAAATGGGGATAATAACAATATTAACTTCCCATGGTTGCTATGAGGGTCAAATAAGATAATATTTGCTTGGCACATAGTAGGTACTATAGAAATGCTTATTCCCGTCCTTTAGGTTGTTGGGGAGTGGAAGGAATAGTGCTGCCAGAGCCTGTCATGAGGCTGAGTATACCTGTTCTCCTCACGCCCCACCCCAGCCCAGGCCTTCCTTTCACTGCCTTATCAATTCTCTGACCTTGGACTGTTCTCTGTGATACTGAGGCACATCTCTACCTTACCCCACTGAATTTGCCCTATCCCACTTTCTCCTAAAGTGGGCCAGTGCCTACTCACCAGTGTTGATGACCTTCTGGATGACCTTGGCTACCTGTCCCTGGAGCACAGAGTTCAGCAGCTTCACCAAGAGGATGAGGCAGGTACAGAGCACAGTAAGGGAGCCAGCAAGCAGGATCAGGCCCACGGCCAGGTCCGGCAATGAGGTGTCCACAAACAGATGCTGACCTGAAGGGGGTGGGGGAGTACTGCTGAGAGCCTTCCACCCGGGCCCGGATACCTCCCTCCAGGAAAACCCCATGAGGCTCCCTAGCTGGCCAACACCCTCGGCCCCAGCTAGGGCTCCAGCTGAAGCCTTATACCTACCCCAACCCAGATCTTAAACCTGAACCCACAACTAGGCCTCCAACTTGAATGCCCAACTGCTATGTTCAACCTAGACATGTCTAGGTACTACCAGTGAAGGGCAGAATCAGTTTATAGTGCTTTTAAGAGTCCTAAGGGAAGTATTTATGCCCTACTTCTTGCCCTCCCAGATCAGGAAACACCAGGGGCCTGTAATCCAGGCTCCCAGGGATAGGCTCTAGGGATGGCCCTCCTCCCCACACTTCCCTCTGCCCACCTTCCCCACCAGAATCTCCCCATACTTAAGTGACATACATTTCTCCCCAGTGGTGTTCCCCAGGGTCCAGGTGATATTGGCCTCTGCCCGGGGCATGTCAGTAATAACCTGGAGAAGGGGGTGAGGGGCAAAGTCAAGGAGCTAAGGAGAGACTGACTTGGCCAAGGCATTATATCTTGCCTCTTCGCTGGGCCAAGTCTGTGTTCTTTAGCCCTTCTCATGGAGCCTGGGGAGCAGAAGAGAGCAAAATGTGGCAATAAGGTGATGGAAGTTAAGATTGGAAAAGAGTAAGATCGGGGGTGAGACATGAGAGGTGAAAAAATAGTCTGGGGGAATGAGGGTGAGTAGGAGGTTGGAGATGTGTTGGATAGGAATGTGAATTAGATGAGCGATGTGATGAGGAGGAAGAAGAGAGTGGATGGTAGGAGTAACACCTGTTTTATGTAGGCTGAGCCAGTCCTCTAAGGGGATAGGGAGGTCATCTGGCTTCTTGGCTCCCCAGGGCATAAAAGGCCCAGCCTAGGCGTAGTTGGGGTTAAAGGTTACTGGCCTATGGAGAAAGCCTTCTTGACCTGACCAGCCTGGGCTGGTTGCTGTGGTGACTGGAGGCAGAGAGGCCTGGCATTTAATTTGAGTCACCATCCTTGTTTTACTTTAGAAATTGTATTCTTTTAATTTCTTATTATCAGTACAGTTGTCTTTGTTACATTTTATGGACCACGGGTGCCTCTTTGCATTCGAATCCCTGATATTGAATCACTAGACTGACCTAGATTTGCCTTGGCCTAGAATAGAGCAAAATGGAAGATGGGGATGATATAAGGGATAGGGATGATACGGGAATAAGATGCTGGTGCAATGAGAATTGGGATGGGGTGAGATGGGGGACAGAGTAGAGTTGGAGGGATGTGGTTAAAGTGGGAACAGGGGTTGACATGGGGATTAGACTGAATGGGGAAAATTGGGGTTGGGGGTAAGTTGAGGGTGGGAGGATATGGGAGTCCAAGGGTGAATTGGGGAGAGCCTTCCTTTACTATGGTACCTCCCAATCAGGGTAAAGGAAGTTTCCCTCCATTGAGGCCTAAATCTATGCTCTTATGATCCCTTTCTATGTATAGTCATTATAGTCATCCCCTCAGGCTGTGATTTAGTAAAAGGCATTAAATGGAAAGAGCATTATCAGGTGGAAAACTTCATCTTTCACATTCCCAAGTAGTCTGGTCTAGTAAAACTTGGTTACTTGGGTCACAAGGCCAGAACCCTGCTGCCCTCTGGAGGCAGCCCTAAGAATTGCAAGAGTGGGACCCACAAGGCACCGAGCTTCCTTCTGCTGATTTCTTAGCAAAATGGAAAATGGTTGCCATATGTTGTCTGAAGCCCTTGCTCTAGCACTTGACCATTCTGTTTGCTTTCTCCCTGATGCCATACTTGCTAATGCTTCCACAGATCTGAATTTGGGTCTTAGACCAGCTCCTCAAGGGGAGAAGGTGAGTCTCCTTTCCTCTCTTCTTCCTCCTCAAGTGTCCTGACTCCTAGAGCCCATCCCCAGCACAGGGCTCCTCATACAGTGCAGCCTCAGTAAAGACCAGGCGATCAATGTACGGACTGAACCGGACCTGACCCCGACCAGTCAGGGTGGGGAATCTGGAACAGGGGCACCTCAGTGGGGTCTCCACCTCCAGGAAGGAAAGTCAAATGGTCCTCAACTTGGAGAGACCCTCATTCCTGGGGGTTGTGGACTCACCTCCAGGTACCTTCTCCTGGACACTTTCCACCTTTGGCTGTGGTGAGTATCTTTCTCTTAGTTCTCCTCTCACCTCTTTGACCATTCCTCCTGCCTACCAGGGGTGACTGTCCTCTATGGCGCTGTCCTGGGCCATCATATCTATTTCTATACTCTCTCTTTGGGTGATCTTGTCAGTTCTCATGGGTTCGATCACCATCTCTATGCATGAGTATCAAATTTATATACCCAGCCCTAATATACTACACTCTATATACTCCTTACCCCAGTCCCACATGACCAACTGTTTGTTAGACAGCTTTGCCTGAACATCTTGTAGGACTCTGAAACTCAACGTGTACAGAAGACAACTCATATCCCCCCTCCCCCATCCATTCCTCCTATAAGCTTCCCTATTCTTGTGGAGAGAACTATCCTTCCGATCACCCAGGTTCAAAGCCTTGGAGTCAGCCTGGACTCCTTCGTCTCCCTCACAACTCAATTAGTTGCCAACTCTTGTTCACTTTGCCTCTATTTTGCATCCATTCACTTCTCTTTGCTGATGACAATGATCACTAGCATTTATATAGCACTTCAATGTGATCTCATTTTATCCTCACAACAACCCTGGGAGGTAGATTCTATTATTATCCCCATTTTACAGATGAGGAAACTGAGGAAGACAGAGGGTAGGTGACTTGCCTGAGAGCTACATCCAACCGGAAGTGTCTAAGGTTGGATTTGAACTTAGTTCTTCCTGACTCTGGGCCTAGCACTTTATCCACCACACCAGCCAGATGCCTCTGCCCTAGTTCAGGACACCTTTCATCTCTACTATTAGATTAGTCTCCTAATAGTCTCCCTGCTTCTGGATATTCCCCCTTCTGATCTCTTCTCCACACAGCTGCTAATTGCTATTCTTAAAACACAGATCTAGTTATATCATCCTCTAACTCAAAAATTGTCAATGCCTCCCTATTGCCTCTATGAAAAATATAAAATCATTAGCCTGGCATCTCGATCTCTTTTCCAGTATTGTTTTATATTTGACATTATTCTGACATGCTCCTTTCCAGTCAAACTGGTCTGCTAAGCTGCTTCTTGAACACAGCGGTAGATCTCCCACCTCCAAACTTTTGCCCAGATGATCCCCTCTGTCTGGAGAGCCCTTCCTCCTCACCTCCACCTTGTAGGACCCCCAGCTTCTTTCAAGGCACAGCTTATGTGCCACAACCTAAACAAGGACTTTGCTGATTGTCCTCTCCCCAGCTGTCAGCTCTCTCCCTCTTGGAATGACTTTGTACTACTTGGTACTTACTTATCTGGGTACACGTTGTATCACCTCAGTTAGATCCATGAGCACAGAGATTGCTTCTGGTTTTGTCTTTGTTATCCCAGTACCTAAAGCAGTGCTTAGCACAAGGCAGTGCTTAATAAATATGAGTTAAATTGGGTCGGGGACTCACTGCCTGGAGTCTAGGGATTCACCTTGAGTTAGGCTTTACCCCTGGCTGGTCTTTCCCTCTAAAAGGTCAGGAATGTACCTCTGGGTGAGAGGAGGGGTTAGATTTCTGATTCATGGTGGGGGTGGGGGTGGGGCTGGGGCTGGGACTCATCTGGGAGGGGTGGTTTGGGGCTAAGCCTTACCTGTGGAGGAGTGGGGGACTCACCTCTGAGGGGCTGGGGTCACACCAAATCCGGATGAGGCTGTGGTTTCGAAGTGTCTCGTCTCCTATGGCGATGCTATTGATCACGGATTTATCCAGCTGGGGTGGAATAGTTAGGGACAGAGGATGGTATGAGGAAATTTGACTCCAGGTAAAAAGGACCTTGGATAGGTAAGTGTCAGAGGTAGGATTTGAACCCAGGCCATCTGACTCACTTGAGTCAGTGTTCTTTCCCCTGTATCATGCTGCCTCCCAACCCTCTCATTTTACAGGTTAGGACACTGAAGCCCATAGAGGTTACATGATTAGTCTAAGTTAGAGAGTGGCAGAACTGGAATTCAAATCCAATTTGAATTCAAACTTGGCTCCATTGCCACCATATCACATACAGGTAATAATAACATCTTACAGCTCTTTAAGATTTATGGAGTCCTTGCCTCACAACTTCTCTATGAGGTAGGTAGTACAAATACTATTAGCCCCACTTTACGTATTAGAAAACCAAGGCTCATTAAGTATGTGGCAGTCAGGACTAGAATCCAGGTTTCCTATCACCAATCATAGTACTTTCCACTATGCTACCCTTCCTCTCTATTGAAAGCTTCCCACCAATACCCAGTAGAAGGAGATTTCTTTAGAGGAGAACAACAGAGGAAGAGACCCCCCCCCCAACCCAAGAATGGCCCAGGGGTCCCCAATCCACACCTGGATAATGAGTCGGGTAAAGGGCTCAGTGATGATCTTAAGCAGGTCTGGAGCATCTCGGCCACCTCGAATTTTGAAGGAAGTGACCACCAGGTGGGTGAGGTGGTGCAGGTACCCCGTAGCTGTCTCCAGGGGCAGCAGGACAAGAACTGACAGCCAGTTGAAGCAGTCGTGGACTGTGGCCCCTGCAAAGGCCCTGGGATGGGGAAATAGGGGAGGACTTTGAGCCCAGAACCAGAACTGGAGAGTGAGGGAAGAAGTGGGTCAGGATAAATTTTGAGGAGTATGTGGGTCAAGGGTAGGATGTAAGAATTTGAGGAATGGGCAAAGATAGGGAAGTTTGGGAGTCCATCTTAGATCAGCAAACTTTTGGAGTCAAGTTCAGAAAGGAGGTTTGGGGATCAAGGCTAGATTGGGGGGGAGTTTGGGGAATCCCTTGGGTATATTTGGGAGGTTAGGATTAATCTGGATTAAACTGGGGATTGGGAGAGTTTGTGGATTGAGTTAGAATGGGAAAGTTTGAGAGATGATGAAAGGGGGCCAGAGTTAAGATAAAGTGAGTTTGGGAATGAGGATTAAGATAATGAGAATTTGGGGATCAGAGTTATGATGGAAGAGTTTGGTTGAGATAAAGGCAATTTATTGATCAGCATTAGGCTGGGAAATATAGGTGATCAAAGTCATTCCATGATTTAGGATCAGGATTAGGATGGCGGGAGTTTGGGGCATGGATCAGGGTTAACAAAGAAATTGTGGGGCTGGGATTATGAGGTGGCAGTCAGTGGGTGGGTAATGACAGTGAAGATTGGAGGTCAGTGGATTAGGAGGAGCTAGGTGGGGTAAGGTTTAGGGCAGAGGAGTCTGGGAAATGGATATGGAGGTGGTTTGGAAGTGGGTCAGAATGAAAACAGAGACCAGAATGAGACTATGGTCATTTCAGTCGGAAGAGTCCCACAACCCCACTTGACCACATGACTACCATTCCACCCAGTCAGTGTGTCCCTGTCCCTCCTCACCTTCGGAAGTCACTCCTATCTCCAGCCTGCATCAATGCCACAATGGTATTGGTGACAGATGTGCCAATGTTGGAGCCCATGACAATGGGAATGGCAGACTTGACCTCCAGCACTGTGGGCACGAGGGGAGTAAAATCTTAGTTGCCACCTCCAGGACTGCCATTGGCCCCCTCCCAACTCCTACAAATGATGAAAAATGTCAGACCTCTCCTTCCTGGGTTGCTGGATCTGACGCTTCCCTCTACCCGCAACCTACCCCCACACAGGGCTCTGAGTGTTTGTGTGGGAAAGGCTGCATTCCTGCCCCCCACCAAGAGCTCCCCATTCCTTAGGATCCTAGCATTTTGAGCCTTCAATCCCTTTATTTTGTTCCATCCGCCTGAGCACCAGGCCATCAGTCCTGCTTCCCAGATGAAATGAAATGAACTTTTGTCACCAATATGTTGGGTTGAAATATTCTCATTTTGTTTTGAGGTGATAGGAATCCTGTTTGTACCTGCTTTATATTTCCTTATTTTTGCCTTGGGCAGTGAGAGGATAAGGGAGAGAGGATGGGAAATTAGTGAGGCATTAAGAAAATGTAGGTTGAACCCACTATACCAGAAGAGCTTTTCTGATTGGCTAAGAGTGGACTAGGGATGTGTTGGTGAAAATAACTCACAATGCCCAGGTGGACAAATTCCTAAATTTAGGGAATAGTGGATCTGAGGCAAAGAATGCTATTCCCTGGGGGAGCTAGATGCCCCTGGCAGGAGCAGGAGAGGATGGTGAGAAAAGCTAGCCTGGGGGAATCACAACTTGATAAAATCACTTAGGAAGTTTAAGGGGATCCTTTAATGATCCCCACTTATTATTTCCAAAGTTAAGGATTAGTTTGTTGAGTCATTTTTTTGTTATGTCTGACTCTTCACAACCCTATTTGGGGTTTTCTTGGGAGAGATATAGGAGAGGTTTTCCATTTCCTTCTCCAGCTCATTTTACAGATGAGGAAACTGAGGCAAACAATGTTAAGTGACTTGCCCAGGGTAACAAAGCTAGTAAGTGTCTGAGGCCTGATTTGCACTCAGGAAGATGAGTTTTCCTGACTCCAGATCCAGGGCCCTATCCACTACAACACCTAGCTCCCCTGCAGATAAGTTTCCTCCTCCACATAAACTTTAGAAAATACCCTTTTTCCCCTTCTTTTCTTTGCAGAGGTGGGAGGACATGGATGTGGAACATTGGATATACTGTCAGACTTGGTTAATATGTTGGTTAGCTTTGCTGAACTGCTTTTTTCTTTTCCTTTTTTATTCTTTGTTAAAAAGGATGGCTCTTTGGATAGAGCCGGTTGATGAGGGACATATTGGGAGATTAAGGTAAAATAAAAACAAAATATTTTAATAAAAAGTTTTTTTTTTTAAGAAAATTCCCTCTTCTGGGAACAAAGAAGGAAGAGAGAGCAGATCTGAGAATCAGATATTCCTTGTCAATGGAAGGGGAAAGGGAGGAAGGGGAGAAGTTAGGAATCAAGGGCCACAGATCTCTGAGATCTGTGCAGGTTGAGGGAGCAAGCAGCTCTGGAAGGCTCAGTGCCTTGAATCAAGGTAACTGACCGGGGACTGTAAGAAAACAGAAAAAAATAGGGGCAGCTAGTTGGCACAGTGGATAGAGCACCGACCCTGAAGTCAGGAGGACCTGAGTTCAAATCCGGCCTCAGACCAAACACTTGACACTTACTAGCTGTGTGCCCTTGGGCAAGTCACTTAACCCTGATTGCCTCACTTAAAAAAAAAAAAAAGAAAGAAAACAGAAAAAAGTCGAGGCTCTGGGGAAGATGGGTTGAGTGTAGCCTGGATGACTCCAAAGGAGAGCTGGATCTTGGAAGGGAACTGTGTCAGTGAAGGCTGAGGCCACATTCTTCTCACTGACTCCCTGTTCCTCCCTGCACCCTATGCTCTGGTGCTCTGGCTCACTGCCCGTTACCCACAGGCCTAACCCTCCTCACAGGACTCACAGCCTGAGGAGACCATGCTGACGATGATGGAGGTGGATGTGCTCGAGCTCTGCACAAGGACCGTCACCAGAATCCCCACCACCAGCCCCGCCACAGGATTGGACAGGATGGCGTTGTCCTTGAAGATGTCACCAGCTACTTTGCCTGGGGGAGGGGGGAGAAGGGGAAAAGTGTTGGGAGCAAGGCCCTAGAGGACAATCGCCAGCATCAGACACCCCCTTCTGCTCTCAGTCCCCTCAACCTCCCAAACCTTCCTGGCCAAAAGATGGCCCAGTGCCCACTGAGGCCCAGCCCAAGGCCTGGCTCTCTGAGCCAGAGGCTCTGTCTCTCTTGGCCCAGTGTCCCTGAGCTCCTGTTTCCAGTCCTGTCAGGGTTTCTAGACCTCCCTTCTAACCTTTCCTGCCCTCCCCTTCCTCTTTTACATACCCCCGGCAAGCTGGAAGGCTGAGCTGAGCACATCCAAGGAGCAGACAAAGAGGTAGAGGAAGACGAGCATCATGGGGACCTTGAGGAGATTGACACAGGTCGAGCGTAGCCTCTGGGATGGCCCTGGTTCTGGGGAGACACAGCACCAGGGTGAGTCCCTCCCTCCTTCTGCTTCTCTCCTCCCACCAACATTTCCAGATGGCCTGGCTCCTTCTACAGGCCCCTTATTTTGGAGCCACTTCTCTGGGGCCCACCCCTACAGCAGGGTTCTTTCCTATTGACCCCAATGATGTAGGCTCCCTCCTTCATTTCTATCCAGTGCGCCAGCCTGGTCATCTGTCTTCCTCACTGTCTTGCTGAAACAACCCAATCCCCACCTCCACCCCACCCCCTTCACATCCCTGCACCTAACGTCTGTGTGTCCTCCAGGGCCAACTTGGGGGGCAGTAGGTCAGGCTCATAGCGTTCCAGGGTCTCTCCGCACAGACAGCCACACTCAGGGAGCCCCCCTGGCCCTCTGCCGGGGAAGGCATAGGCTGGGGCTCCAGGAATCCGGTGGAGAACTAGAGAGAAATACAGAGGGCTGAGTGACTCTGCTACCCGTTGGGGCCCTAGGTCATGGAGGGGTGGAGTGTAAGTGGGGAGACAATGGAGAACAGCATGCTCTCTCTGGGCGTCCCTCTAGAAGCAGACCCCTGGAGGAGACCCCTTGTCCACTGAGAGGTACTCAGAGTAAGGCAAGATCTGTGGCCAGGGACCCTCACCACCCCTCCCCCCTCCCCTCTAGGTGGAGCCTCTATCAGAGCAGGAAGGCTGGGCTCAGGGGTATTCTGTTCTTACCCTGAGGACTGGGTGTATAGGCAAAGGCTGTGCCTCGGATCACACGGTGAGGACTGGCAGCTGGCAGTGGGGCCAGGGCAGGGCACCTGTGTCTCTCTCTGTAAGGCATCATCCTGGGCACAGACACCAGAGAGGTCTCTAGGACCTTCCAGATATTCCAGCCTTCAGGTTCTCCCTTCCCCAGTGCAGATTCCTGCATCTCCCCCACTCCCATACCCTTCTCTTTGGTGTTCTCCCTCCCCCCACCCATACACACTTCCTGGGAGCTGGGGCAGGAGGCCTCTTGGGGCTGGAGCAGCCTGAGGTTGAGGACTGATGGACTTTGGGACTGTGGTGGGGACTGAAGTTATGTGGGAGTCCTGGTCGTCTGGGACTGAGGGCCAGGAGTCAGGAGCTGAAGTGAAGGGGCATTGAGAGGCTGAAAGACTGGGAAGTCATGGCTAGGGGACTACAGAGTGGGACAAAGGGGCAAAGGTGAGGAGTGGGGGCCAGGCTGCCTGCGTCAGGAAACTAGGAGTGATGGTAGGGAGCCAGCCTAGGGAGCTGAAGCCACCTGAGTTGCAGCTTTTTCAGCCACTCACCTGGCTGCCCGGAGGCTGGCCTTGACTCTCGTGCTATCAGTCTGGAAGGCTGAGTGTGAAAATCCTTGTGGCCAAAGTAGGAGGGTTTTGGGGGGGCTGAGATCTTTATAGTCTCAAGTCAAGATCAAAGTCCTTCAGGCCCCCTTCCACCTTCTACAGTTACCTAATTAATCTCCTCCCCTGAAATTCCTCCCAGTTAATTGCTAATCGTCAGGAGGAGTCTTTGCCTATGGGGGTGTCCACCCCTGCATTCTTTCTGGGCAACCCTCCCACTCTCCTCCATGACCAGAACTGTCTAGATAGTAACTCTCCCCAGGCCTACAGTCTTCTGTAACTGGAGTCCCAGGTATTGAGGACCCTCCTCACCTTGAGAATTCCTAGTTTCAGCATCTTCCAGCTCCTACCTCTTACTCTTCCCACAGAGAGCTCCTGTGGGTTCCCTCCTCTCTCTCCTGTCACTTCCCTTTTCTCCAAGGAATTCTCCTAATGGACTGTCTCTTTGCTGTGCATTTATGCATGTATATCTTTTCCATGTATGAATCTTTGTATATATGTATCTGTGCATATCTGTGTATGTGTTTTTATTATATGTATTTGTGTATGTTTTTATTAATCCATTTCTATCAGTCAATGAACATTTATTGAGCACCTACTATGTGCTAGGCACTGTTCTAAGCACCCACTGTGTGTATGTGCGTCCATGAGCCTGCATTTGTGAATGAGTCTATGTGTAATGTGTAATGTCTATATGTGATGTCTGTGTCTAATGTGTAATGACACAGTCTTTACTTGAGGATCCCCCACCCAACCTGGAACTTGCACCTGGGATGATAATTAGGAGCCTATGGGACAGAGTTTTGGAGGCTCTAGTATCTGTTTAGGGTTAATCTGGAGGGATGGGAAATCTGGACTATTTGTGTTCATGTCTGTAAACTTGGCCAAACCCATTCTTGTCTTCTGGTCCCCTGATAGAACAGAGGCTCTATGGCCTGAGGACCAATTGGGGCATAAACATAGAACCACTTATAAAAGGACAGTGAGAGAGAGAGGATCAAGGAAATGGACAGGTTAAGGACCAGCAATAGGGCTAGGGATAGATGTCTTACTGAGGTTGAGGTTAGGGATACAGATAATCTTACTGTTAGCATGATGATTAGAGCTAGAACAGAAATTGTGGCTAGGGGAACACGGAGCTCAGCGTTGAAGGTGAAAGGAACTTTTGAACATAGAATTTTTTAAAAAAAAATCTCTAACTTTTATCAGTCTTTTGTTTTTATATCATTTTATTCCAAATATATCCCTCCCCATCACACAGCAAACTGTACCTTGTAACAAAGATTTTTAAAGAGAGAGAAAAAACAATTCATTGAAATTAAATAACACATCAATCATGTTTGACAGTGTGTACAACATTTCATCTGTAATTCCTCCCTTCAGCAACAAAGGGAGGGTGGTATATTTTCTTATCTCTTTTCTTTGGCTAAGTTTGGTAATTATTCCTGTGGTGACCACAGGTTCAGGTGTTTTGTTTTTTTAAATAGTTGTTCTTTCCATTTACATTATGGTAGTCATTGTGTATATTCTTTTCCTGATTCTGCTTACTTTATTTTGCATTGGTTCATATAAGTTTTCCTATTTTTCTCTGATTTCTTCACATTTTTTAGTTCTTGCAACAAGGTAATATTCCATTATGTTCAAATACCATAATATGTTTACCAAGGGTGGGGAACCTGCAGCCTCGAGGCCACATGTGCCTCTAGGTCCTCAAGCTTGGCCCTTTGACTGAATTCAAACTTAATAAAAGGATTTGTTCTGTTAAAACTTAGACTCAGTCAAAAGGCTGCACCCGAGGACTTAGAGGACCTAGAAAACCATGTGTGGTCTCAAGGCCACAGGTTCCCCACCCCTGGGTCATTCCCAAATCAATGGGCATTCATTTTGTTTCTATTTCTTTGCTAACATCAAAGGTGCTGCCACAGATATCACAATCAACATATGGGACTTTTCTTTTTTACTTAGGCCTCTTTAGAGTATATGTCTATACTAGGATCTATGAGTTAAAGGGTATGGACATTTTAGTAATTTTCTTTCTTTTAAAATATATTTTTAATTGATAGTTTCTATTTCTTACATCACTGTAGTTGTCCCAAGTATCTTTTTCCTGCCCCATCCCAGAGAACCATCCCATATGACAAATAGTATTTTTTAGAGAGGAAAAAAATAAGCAAAACTGATCAGTACATTGAAAAAGTCCAAAAACATGTGCAGCATTTAACATATGGACCCACCAGCTCCATGAAGGTGTGGTTTGGTGATGTCTTCTCATATCTCTTCATTTGAGTCCTATTTGATTTTTATAATTTTGTTACATTTACTTTTGATTTTTTGGTATGTCATTCTTTTCATTTTCATTGTTGTAGTTACTGTATATATTTGTTTTTTGGCTCTGCTTATTTCACTCTAAATCAGTTCCTATAGACCTTTCCCTGCTTCTCGGTACTCCTCACCCACATCACTTCTTATAGCACAGTTATATTCCATTATATTCATATACCATAATTTCTTTAGCCATTCCCCTTATGATGAGCATCCACTTGTTCCAATTCTTAGCTATCTCAAAAAATGCTGCTATAAATATTTTATAGTATATAGGGATTTTCTTTTTCTTTTTCTTGGTTTCTTAGGTTCCTTGAGGTATAAATCCAGTAATGAAGTCTCTGGTTCAAAAGATATGGACATTTTAATTCTTTCTCTGCATAATTCTGAATTGCTTTTCAGAATGATTGGACCACTTCACACCTTCACAGTTTATCAGTGTACCTTTCTTTCCACAGCCCCTCCAACATTGATTATTTCCATTTTTTTGGTCCATCTTACCACTTTACTAGGTATAAAGTGAAACCTCAGAAATATTTTGATTTGCCTGTCTCCTATTATTAGCAATTTGGCACAATCTTTTATATGGTTACTAATAGTTTGTAAGTCATTTTTTGAGAACTGTTCATGCCCTTTGACCATTTTTAGAATATAAATTCTAATAGCAGCATGTGGGAGCTGGAAAAATACTTAGAACACAAATGTGAACTCCACATTTAAAAATATATATATTTATTTTTAGTTTTCAACATTCACTCATGTAAGATTTTGAGTTCCATGTTTGCTCCCTTCCCAGTCCTCTCCCCTCCCCAAGATGGCATGCAATCTGATATAGACTATACATGTACAATTATATTAAACATATTTCCACAATAGTCATGTTGTAAAAGAAGAATCAGAACAAAAAGGGAAACCATGAGAAAGAAAGAAAAAGGGGAAATAGTATGCTTTGATCTGCATTCAGACTCCACAGTTATTTCTCTGGATGTGGATAACATTTTCCATCCTGAGTCTTTTGGAATTGTCTTAAATCGTTGCGTTGCTGAGAAGAGCTAAGTCTATTAAGGTCGGTCATCACATAATGTTGCTGCTACTGTGTCCAATGTTCTCCTGGTTCTGCTCACTTCATTCAGCATCAGTTCATGTAAGTCTTTCCAGGTTTTTTTGACATCTGCCTGCTCATCATTTCTTATAGAACAATAGTATTCCACTACATTTCTATACCACAACTTGTTCAGTCATTCCCCAATTGATGGGCATCCCCTCAGTTTTCAATTCTTGGCCATCACAAAAAGAGCTGCTATGGATATTTTTGCACATGTGAATCCTTTCCCCATTTTTATGATCTCTTTGGGATACAGACCTAGAAGTGGTATTGCTGGGTCAAATGGTATGCACAGTTTTATAGCCCTTTGGGCATAGATGAATTCCACATTTTAAGAGGGATATTGACACTAGAAAGTGTCCAGGGGTGGGTGACCAGGATTATAAGGGAACCAGAGATGCTATTCTATGGAAGGAGTTGGGAATATTTATCTGGAAGAAGAAAAGATTTAGGGGAGAAAGGATAGCTAGCTGTCTCCAAGTATTTTTCTTTAAGAAGGGCTCTTTGAGGAGAGCAATTTGGTTTGTTCTTTGGTCCTAGAGGGCAGAACTTGGAACACTGAATGGAAGTTACAGGGAGCAGATTTGGGTTCAATGTTAAGAAAATCTTCTAAACCATCAGAGCTCTCTAAAAGTGGAATGAGCTGCCTCAGGATGTAATGGGTTCCCTATTGATTGAGATTTTTAAAAATTTTATTATTTGTTCATTCTTTTCTTTTTAAATTTTGAGTTCCACATTATCTCCCTCCCTCTCACCTCTCTCTTACCCACTGAGAAGGCAAGCAACATGATCTCAATTTTATATGTGAAATCACTCAAAATTTTTCCTATTAGTGATATAACAAAAAAGCAAAAAAAGAAAAGAAAGCAAGAAAATTATGCTTCAGCTTGCACTCAGAGCTCATCAGTTCTCTGTTGGGACTTGGATGGTATTTTTTCATCATGAGTCCTTTGGAATTGTCTTTGATCACTGTACTGATCAAAGTCATCAGGGCTTTCACAGTTGATTGGCGGAGGTTTTAAAGACATTTCTGGACAAATTCTAGATTAG